GCACATGCTGACATGAATGTTGATTTTTATTGAGAAATACAATTTGATATTGGAATGTCTTGCGATTGCTTTCAGCAAATCAAAAGTAAGTATTCTTATGAAACATTATTGTAAATGTGTAGAGACTCTCAAATTTTACATTCAAGCAATTCCTAAGTTTCAAGGATTTGTATACAAATCCTTGTTAGTTTGCAATATATAACAAGGGTCTTGAAAAGGCTATCTATGTGAGATACAACCTTCTTATAAATTACCTAAACTTTGTGACATCAGAATATTCTTTTCTGTTTCTATAAAAAATAAACTGCTTCGCCTAGTGCAGCTGGATACGACCGCAGAAGTCCAACCCTGAACAGTAAGGGCAAAAATGGACACAATATTCAAGCTTGATACAGGTCTGAATTTGGATTGTAATTAAATATTTGACACATTATAGGTTTCTGACACAGAATAAATGTAATCAGACTTGAAATTGGTTATATGATTTGAATTTATATTCAATTGAAGATTTCTTGCTTTTGTGCAATACACTGGAAAATTGACAATTTCTTACCAATAAAAAATTGTTTTGTCCCCCCCCTTTTAATAAAAAAAAAATAAAAACATTGAAGAAATTTTCTATTTGTAAATTGTGGTACAATTTAAGAAAAATCGATACACTTAAACACAAGTTATTGCCTGAAAATTAAAAAAATGCTTGTTTTAGACCCTTTTTGGCCCCTAATTCCTGGACGGTTTGGGCAACTGCCCCAAAAATGAATCCCAACCTTCTATTTGTGGTATTGAACCTTGTGGTACAATTTCAGAGCAATCACAATACTCATACACAAGTTATTGTCCTTAAAACTAGAAAAATACTTCCTTTGGGCCCCTAATTCCTAAACGGTTGGGACCATCACCCCCAAAAACAATCCCAACCTTCCTTTTGTGGTATTGAACCTTTTGGTCAAATTTCATAGAGATCACTTAAACTAAAGTAATTGTCCGGAAACCAAATGTCTTTGGACGACGACATGATGGCATTATACGACCCCTAAATTTTTTTGTGGTCGTATAAAAATCATTCAAATCAAAATTTAGTAAGAGTCATGATGACCTTGTATTTTTTTATTTTTACATTTAAATTTTTTTGTGACATGCATAAAAAGTTTTCTAATTTTGGATCTTTGTGGGGTTTATCCACAAGCTGCTTTCACTCTTGTTGCATTCTGATCTAAGTATAGAAATATAGAAACCCTGCTAGGCCATTCACCCTCATTATCCACCTTTTCAATCTAAAAGGCCAATTTACAGCACTACATATATTGATTTTCAAATGACTACCAAGTTCAAGAACCTTTATGTCCCTTTAAAAGATTACTTGTGCTGAGAAGAAATTGTATTTTCTTTGGTAACTATTGCGTAAGACAGGATAATCAGTACATGTGGCTTACTAACTAACAAGCTCCTGATATACTTCACTGGGTTTACAGAAAAATACAGGATTTAAAGATTAACTGTACTTTGAGAAGATTTGTAAATAAGAGTCCTGGCTGATTCAACACCCATTCATGTTTTATGATTAACAATTAGAAATCTATGGCTAATTTAATCCTTAGATTCAATACACTCCTGAGATTATGCAATATTATATAAATTATGTAAAGAATAGAGAATAGTTTATAACAAGGTCTGGCAAAACAATTTCGTTATTACAATTTGTATGTTATTCTGTTGACGACAAAAGTCTGTATTTAGCTTTGAGATTTAATAATTCATAATTAATTTCTTGAGTTACAACAATTAGCTTTAATGATGCTTTTTGTAAATTACCAATGATAAATAAACTAATACTAAAATTACAATAACTCATTTATTAAAATGTCTCTGAAGTAAAAGTAAGATGTATGCTTTCCTAACTGTATATTTAATATGATAAATGAAGAAAATGTTATAAAAACAAAAAAAATATTATTTAAAAGTGACCGATACATGAAATAACTATATAATACTAATGCAAAGATTGACAGAAAACTTAAGATTTATTTAGATAATTATTTCCTTTTTGTAAAAAAAACATACATTATTTCTTTTTGCATGACACATCCTTCTGGAATAACTTTCATCAGGAAGCTCTTAAATGAGTTAAAATACAACTTAAACTATGCATGAACAACCAGAATCAAATTTATAATAAACCAAGAAAAAAAGATTTATAAAATATGTTTATAATAGTGTTTATAATAGTCAAATTGTTTTTTCTTGGAAGAAATATATAATATGGATAATAAAAGCAAACAAACAAATGACTCCAAAAAATTCTTCAACAGACTCAACATTTAATGCAAATAAAAATTTAAATCTTTTATTTTCTACTTTAATCACACCATACAAGTAAATTGATTTGAAAATAACATTGATTAACAAAAACTAGTAACAGTAACCCAATACACAAAGTTTAAATGGAATCAAATGTAACATCCATATAACAAAAGTCTATAACAGTAACCCAATGCAAAAAATTTAAATGGAAACTGATATAATAACCAGAAATACATGATAACACTAAATTTCTTTTATTTGTCAACTAAACATTATCTGTGTAAGGTTACTTCATCATGACCTTAATTCAAGGTTACAGACTGTGTAACAATAATCAAGTGACATAACTCTGTACAAGACTGGTTGCATCATCTGTTGTCATTTTATTTCACAGAACAACATTTAAGTGTGAGGAAATGATCTAAACCACCCCAATACACATTATAACAAGAAGAGATTCAAATACTGAGTTTAATTAATTTTCTATTAAAACCACTGAATGATTTTTTTTTTTTAATAAATGAAATTTTTTTTAAGCTTACTATGAAATTCATATTAGTTATTTTTTGTATTTTGTATTTTTTTATTCAATAAAAATATCATAATTATTTTTTTTTTAAATATAACAGTCATTTTTCATTTGGTCAATCAGTGTTCAGTGTAACCTGTTTTTTTTTTTTTTTTGCAGTTTACCATGGTTTAGTTAATATTTTTGTAATTACTGTAAAGGAAAGAAAATAGGTAAACCATAAATCTATTATGTTATCTGACAATTCAACATGTAAAAAAGGTTTCATTAAATAAATGAACTTTTAAATTAAAGATATATTTTAATTGAAAGTCCATTCCTTAAACAGCAGATTTATGCCTCTAAACAATTCTATTAGTAACAGTTCATATTATTTTCAGGGTAAAATAATAACAATTGCTTTTAAATTTAGGTTCAAATTTTTGTGACAGATAAATAAAAACATTTCAGGAGATAATAGAACTTTTGTTCACGGAATTGATCTAGAGTTGGAAGTTTTTGAAAAAAGGTATTTTTTTCCCTAAATTTTATCAGTTTATAAGCAATTATAAATGTATTGAAGGAAAACATATGTAATATATATCAAGTGTTTTTTACATTTTGCTCAAAAATCTGTACTTATTCAAAAAATTTCATGACTATGGTTTCTGAAATGAAAATGAAAAATGAGTGGAAACTTTTTTGAATAGTAATCTTACAAGGGATTGCTAAGTTATATAAAAAATACAAGTATAACTTCGTGGTTATCTAAAATTATAATGGAATAACAGAGTATACACAAAAAATTGGTAAACATTGGTTTTTTTTTAATATTAATCCCTTCAAATTTTTTTTTAAATGATACAAGAATGTACCCAGGAATTTAAACATAAAAACCATACTTCTGCAGGTACAAAGTATATATAAAAAATTCTGCAATTAACAATTACTGTCCTTGGGGGAGAGGAAGTGGTCAGCTGTCAAGGTTATATACCCCCTGGACAGTCGACTGGACCTTGGTCATCAGTCACAGTCAATCATGATACTTCCCAGTAAATGGTCATTCTTAAGTTAAGGATTTTGATTCTCACCTGTAGACCAGTTTAGCTGATCACCAGTGTAATACCTGACAATTTGGAAGTAATGTCTTATCATTGTGGTTAATTCTATGTTCCATTGCAAAAACTTGTGCAAGGTAAATACACATTATCTGTTCATGTAATTTTGTCTCATCATAAAGTTATAGAAATGTATAAATGACATTCTGTTAAATTCATGAAAACTCAAAATAATAAATAAATGAATATGAAACTTTGCAAAAACATTTAGCATAAGAAGTTAAATATAACTTTATTATTTTGATGGAAAAGAATTCCATTCTAATAATTTTATTAAATTTACTAAAAATATGAAGAACAGAATCCAACTTTAACTGATAAGAACAGAAATAAAGCATTGTAAAAATACATATACCCATGTAAACATTATTATTTTCATTTCAAACTTATCTCTATAAATTATTTATTCAGTTCTGAATGGATTAAATTCTTTGATATAATTTTGCAACAGATTTTATGACAACATATATATATATATTTAAAATATATTGCATTGTTTACTGATTTAGTTAAATTAGCATTCATGTCACAAAAACTGCTGAATTTGTCATATGACATTTTTATGTAAATGAACAACACTTTACCACTTTTGAGGAAGTGTCAAATTTCATGTTATATGCCTTGGGATGTTTATTTTAAAACAGGTAAGCGAGTTTAAAGAAATGATTAGAAACTGTAATCAAAATGTCAATGAAAAAACAAGTTCTTATTTTCTATGCTCACAATTTTGACTGCATTATAAGAAATGAGAATAAATACACTCAATTTGCATAGTATTTGTTTGGATCTATGGTCTTATAAAGAGAGAAATAAACATTCTTTCAATACCTGGTAGGTGAATATTAAATGTGTATTAAAAAAAATTAATACAAAATTTACAATTTGTTAATTAAGAAAAGCAAAATTATGTATTAACAATTTTTTTTTATAGCAAGCAGGTATATTTTATTACCCTCAACAACACACAAAGTATGCTAAAACCAAAATAATTTAATAATTATCCAGTAGTTTTCTGTCCCATCATGTTTAGTTAACACCTTCACTGGACAAATAAATTAATACCATTTACTGCAAAAAATCTATTTATCTTAAACATTTTTAATCAGGAGAAAAAATACAGGTAAAATCAAGCCCTAACAAGACCCCCCACAACTATTCTCTTAACAAGGTTATTGTTGATAGTTAATTAACTAAGGCTAAAAAGTCACATGGTTCAATAAGCTATAAATAATCAACATAGGTGAAAGGTCGGATAAGAAATACTGCAAATTAATTGGTCGATTCATGGTCTTGTAAACTTTGTGTAATATTGACTGGTCAGTGAGTAATAGGTGGTCATCTAAATGGACAAGGAGATAGATATGTGTGGGTCAGTGACATTTTGAAGAATTTAAAAGATGCTTTTCTAAATTATGTAATCCAGGTGTGAATTCAGCATCCTATAAACTGAAGAGGTAAATATTCAATGCTAAACCATGTGGGTTTGTTTATGTTTGTATGGGCCAGTTTACTGGACATTTGTCTTATGATTTTGTTTGTCCAGGGCTTATAGGTGTGTGATACAACATTGGGTAATGGAGGATATATTATGTGTAATGTAAACACCTTACATATTTGAAAATAATATGTTTTGGGAAGATGGTTTATGAAACCAGTAAACTATTTTTTGAAATAATTTTCCATGATAAATATAAATACTTCCATGCTGTAACATAAACAAGTCTGAAATTTTTTTTTGACATTATACAATAATGTACCATACTAACTAGCTAATAATTTCAAACTTTGATCTGAAGATTTATATTTTTTAATAGTATATTCTTTGTTATGTTTTGTTAACTATGGTTTGTCTTTTTGGCCATGGTGTTGATTGTTTCCATTGGAGAATGTGTTTTGAAAAAAAAATCATGACTTGCTTCCTGTTTTTAAAATCAATGGTGAAAAAAGTGTAGTGTAGAATAAAAGTTAGCATCAATATATGAAAAGAAATGATTAAAAAAATAAATGAAGTGAATAAATTCAATTCCACTCAGGATCAGATGTTTGAAAAGATAAAAAAAAACCCTCACTATTTTAAACTTAAAGTGAACTAATTTTGTAATATTTATTTTAATTTCATTGAGACAGATCAAAGAAAAATAATATGTCAATTTTCTTTTATTAAACGTAAAAGTACTACAGAAAAGAGTATGTAAATGTATCTTACAAATTTCAAAAGATATAGTGAATGTAACATGTAATCCTGATGTTTGAAAGTTTTAGTTCACATTAATTCTAAGTATAAAATTTGTTATAAACAAAGAACAAAATTAAAGCACCTGTTTCTATTAGAAATATCATAAGCATTTAGGTCTATGTTTAATCTTCATAGAATAAACTTCACCATAATTTATCAATTTCCAATGTCTTTTTTAATTTAGTTTATTTAATACAAAGTCTCAAATGTCTTTGCATTATTAGAAAAACTTTTATTTAATTTAATTTGTCTGGTACATGCCATCTCAATGATAAGAGCATATTTACTTGTAAATTTGGGAGAAAATAATTCCAACAGTGTAACAACTTTTCCAGTCAAATGTGAAGCTTTAATGTAAAAAAAACATTTTTTTATCAGCAATACTAATTTACAGTCATATATTTAAAAAAATGTAAAGTAGTTGTTTTAAAAAAAAAATTGCACATCACCAAATTGTTTTATTAACAAAGTTATACACCTACAATATTTTTCTATGCTCTCCACATATATAGTTTGAATTCATTCATATTAGTGTTGGAAAACATTCTAGAGAACTGATAGGTCTGGTTTTGGCAGTATAAAAAAACAACAAAAAAATATTACCATGACAACCAAACTAATAAAGAATGAAAGAAATATAGAAGGTTGTAATAAAAGGTGAAAATGAATAGATTCTATCATTGTAAATTTGTCCATTTACTTGACAACAGGTTTGACCAGTCATTTAATGATTTTTTCATAGATAAAACTATTGGTGTTTTAATGACATCTACCTCCATTTACCTGTGGCAAAAATTTCTTCAATCAAGGGGATTAACTCACACAGGTGGTCCAGTTAACTCCCCTTTCAACAGAACAATAAGTAATTGACACCTTCCCTAGAGTTTGACCCCAGGGTATTGTAAAATGTCAAATTTTTGTGGGATAATTACTTGAATTAATGAAAGTAGGGAATTTACTTTTTGTATTGAAAATAACATACATAAATTGGCATTCCATTGCAAAATCAAACAATATGATTTGTTTATTTATTATGTGTATAAACAAATCTATCTAAAATGACATTTGATATTTATAGTTACTGGAAACTGAGTAACAATCAAGTAACCAATAAATACAACAAATCTGACAAGTATAGTAAAAACCATGAAGATTTAGTCTTAAATTACTATCCAAAGAAGCATAAATTCTTTTCTAGTATAGTATAAACAATATGTGTTGGGTATGTGTTGTAAAAATCCTAATAAGAATATCTAAATGTATGCAAAAAAATAAGTCATTACTATACTGAATTAAGTTCTAAGAAAAAAAAGGAAAAATTCTATGCTACATATATAATTAAATGATTAATTACCATAACAATTATTCATAATTTTTATGATTAATAGGATAAAAAAAACCAACATTGATCAAGGATTAACAATTTTTATAATATAAATGAGGATGCAAGTAATGAAAATTGACATTCATCCAAAATAAAAGGTGATGACATGATGTTTTCAACAGGAACTTAAACATAATTCATTTCATTGATGGATTAATTATTGTATAATTCAGATTGGTAAGTCACCATGTACCATGTGTTCTGTGATATGAAATATCCTAAATTAAAAAAAAATACTAAACAACTCTGCATGATCTAATTCACAGTGAGTCTTATGTATAATGTGTAATGTCAACTAAGAAATATATATATATGTGTTGGTTTGACATATTTATAATGTATTTATCAGCATAAACTCAATAAATTGGTAGCAGAACAACCTGACATTTCAGGACATTGTGTACTAGTCAGTAGTATGGCAGTACTGCTTGTTTGTAATTGGTTAACTTATAAAATTTTAGATTAGTTGAATTTCTGTTGGAACTGGAACTAATTATTTCTTGATATTTATTTTTTTCAGATAAATCTACATTACTACAACTGGTTATTGTTTTGATGCAAGATTGATCACAAATTGATATCGGAAGAAAATTTGTTAAAAAAAGTTTGCAGTGAAAACTTTGACATTCTGTTTAAAGATAGTTCAAATAGAGTCAAACTGGAATCCTCAATCGCTATGCAAGATCCTTATTCCATGATGCATCGAGAAGAGAGATTTTTCAAGCCATACAACCAGACATCCTCATCATCGAGGTTTCCAAATATGCCATCTTCATCATATTATGGCATGCATTATCCCTCTCATACCATGACACAAAGTGACTTAGCTAATATGTCATCAGGATCTTTAGACTTTTCACAATTTCATCCTAGTGTTGAGGGCATGATGACATTATCAGGGTCTTCACATACGATGCCCAATCCTATTCCAGCACATTCTTCAAATAATATGTCAACTTTACCAGCTGACAATCTGTCTCCTCATAGCATTCCAACAAGCTTGCCTCTTGGCCACAGTCACCATCAATCTGGCAGTCCACCAACTATGGATGTTTTAGATGTTCTGAACTCTCATAGATCTAGTCCAATAGATGACAAATCCGGTTTAAAAAAGGAAATTGAATATAGCAATGCAAATGAATTGTCATCACCATCATCAACCACTAGTAATCATTCACTGTCCCAGCAAGATGCAGCAAATGCTGATTGTGATTCCGAGAATGATGGTTTTAGGATGCCACCAAAGAAAAGGCAAAATGTAAATCAAGAGTCACAGAAAGATAATTGTTATTGGGAAAAAAGGAAGAAAAATAACGAGTCAGCCAAACGATCTCGAGAGGCAAGAAGAATGAAAGAGGAGCAAATTGCATTGAGAGTGGTGTATTTGGAACAGGAGAACTTACAACTTCGAACAGAAGTTTCATTACTTAAAGGAGAAATAGAGAAACTAAGATGTATGCTGTACAATCCATGATTTCTAAAATCATTACAACATTTGTGTTCGAATCAGTGTTCATAATGGCAACTAGATTTCATTCTGTCTTATATGGCACAATGAAATAAGACCTCAGGGTTAAACAGATCAGGGTTATAAACTGTGATATTTATTTCTCAGGGAAACCAGAGAATTGTTAAAAACCTCAAATATGAATTACTCTTTTTAAACAAAGTGGATCTACTAAACTATGATTTGGTGGCAATACCAAACAGAATATATATGTACAAAAGAATTATTTATTGACACTGTATTAGTGCTTTTAAAATAAATTTCCACTTTTTAAAATCTGACATTTCAGCACAGTTATTTTCCTTGTTAAATGTTTTTAACTTGATGAATAGCTATAAGATGAAGAAGGGTAAAATATTTGTTGTAATTTTAGAGATATTTTTATTGTTGAATATTTACCCGGTTATCCATGTTGATTGTTATTCCTTTAATAATTATGTCATAAATTTTAATAATGTACATATTTCACAATTTTGTATTTTTTCTCTCAATACTCTTTTAAAACAATAATAAGTCATTTGAATGTTGTTGTATTTTTGATATTTGTTAAAATCATTCATTCATACTTTTGGATTTTAACCATTGACTTTTTAATGTAATTAAACATCAAATTAAAAAAAAATCTCATATCATCTCTTTTCTTTGTAAAATACTTTCTTTTAAATGCACAATCTTTTAACCAGTTTTACTTCTGTCTTTGAAATCCATCTCCGCATTTTTTTCTGTTCAGCACTATAGTCCACTTCGTTGAGAAAAAAGGCATTTACAAATCAATTTGCTCAGATATTATATTGCCTGATCACTTGAATAAATAATACTTTCACCAACAAATCATAAATATTTTTTTCTTATTTTCTGTCTAATGTTATAAATTTTAAAACTATAAGTATTTATATTTGACTCAATAATCATGATAACGCATGTACTTAAGATTTCTTTTTGGATATATGTGGACATAAATGTAGCTCTTTAAAAATGTTTTTCAAATCAATTTAAATTTCAATAATATAAATGTAATCATACAGCAATACCATTTAATTTAATGACTAAAACCCGGTGTTAATGAAGTATTATGTACAGGGTGTGTTTTCACACCATTTTGTTTAGCAATATGTGTATGACATTTGAATATGCAAATAAATTGTTAACAATCTTTTTTTGTCTTTCTGATTTAAGAAAATGTGAAACCTCAAAATGACAATATAAAAATAAGAAGATGTGATATGATTGCCAATGAGACAACATTCCACAAGAGACCAAATGACACAGAAATTAACAACTATAGGTCACCAGATGGCCTTCAACAATGAGTAAAACCCATAACCCAGTTATAAAGGGCCCCAAAATGACATATGAAAACAATTCAAACTAGAAAACTAACGGCCTGATTTATGTACAAAATAATGAACTAAGAACAAATATATACAGCAACAAAAGACAACTAGTAAATTACCGACTTGGGACAGGCACACACAGAACGTGGAGGGGTTAAACTAGTTTGAAGGCGTGCCACATATCTGTGAATAACAGACAGTTAAACTCTATTATATATTTTTTGCACCTTGCCAAGATTAAGTGAATCCAGGTGACATACATATTGGAGGAGTAAAGAAAGATAACCAGTTGAATGCAGTTTATTCTGGATAGATAGACATGTAAAACTTTTTAGATAATCACAACTACAAACAGTTTGACCTTTTGGCTACTATTGGTCCTCTTTTTTTTATATTATGCTCAAATTCAAAACATTAGTTCAATTAATGAGCTAGGAAAAAGTGAGGAACATAACACACTTTTCTTCACATAATGGAGACTAAGGAATATGGTGTATTAAAAACTGTATTATGACACAAAATCATTACACACACTTAACGAAACCTAAAACAAAGGAACAGTGCTTTCATTTCTGTTCTTCATCTCAAAGTTGCAATGAGGCCTTTAACATGAAGCAAACACTCACATCTCACTGCCAGTTCATAGCAGCCTTAGCAATGGGTTAAGTGTTCATAAGGTTTATGGTGTATATTTATTTAACATTTGCTGGTGATTGTACAAGTTTGTGTGCACAGCTCAAGAAAAGCCTTCATATGGATTTAATTTCTGACCTGGAGAAAACGACCTTTGTGGTATTGTTTATTGTCACTACATGTACTTTTTATCTAAGAAAAAGCTAAATGCATTAAGAGCTGTTGACTCATATTTATATCATGTTCATGTACTATGTGAGTATAAGGGAACATGATTTATTTATGAATATAAACATTTATAAGGAGATGTGATATCGCAATGAGACAACTATCCATCAGAGTTAAAATGAAGGGGAAGAAAGAAATTATAGGCCACTGTACAGCCTTCAAAAATCCATACTGTATAGTTGGCTAGAAAAGGCCCTGACATAAAAAACGTGAAACAATTTTAAATATGCAACATACAAATCGTTAGCAACAGTGGCAGCCATCTTTCACATACTAAGTAAGATTGTGGTCAGGTGTGATCCAGATCCACTTTGAGAATATCAAAATAAAATTGGAAATTTTATTTTTCTAGCAGATTTTGATTTGCTTATCATTTTTGCTATGAGAAGTACCTCTCTTATAAATTTTAAATAATTTAGTTAAGTTCAACTCTTGTAGATCTTTTCTTGCTGGTCATTTCTACTATTTTCAGTTTCTATTTTCTCATTTATATTGTTTTACATTTGTCATTTCGGGGCCTTTTATAGCTTGCTATGTAGTATCACATGCTCATGGTCAAAGGCAGTACAGTGACCTATAGTTGCTCACTTCTACATCATTTGGTGATTTTGGTCTCTGGTGAAAAGTTGTCTCACTGGCAATCGTACCACATCTTCTTATTTTTATGTACCCTTACAAATACAAGTCACATTATTTATCGGGTTAGGTGCCATTTTCGGTTTTGGTCTCCCATGGTGTTCTATAGTTTCAGCAAAGAACTTGTCTGTTAACTTATCATTTCACAGAATACACTTCTGCAACAAGTGAAGCTGTATTTCATGGTGTTCAGTGTTATTTTATAACTGAATGATTGACAAATTCAGACCTAGATATGTAGGGTGGCTAAGTCAAGGAGGTATGTCCAGAAAGATTCCAAACATACAGAAAACAGTTTCTCTAAATGTTACAGATTACGAGGGAAATGAATGGCTACTTCTGATTTGAGGACCATGTTCAGTCAAAATTTTAAAAAAATTAGAAATTTTGGTACTTTTGACCTATATGGCCTTCAATAGACTGTTCTTCCAAAAGGTATCACTTTTGGGATGAAGTTATTACCAAAGAAGCACTCACTGTTAAAGACACAAGTGATAACTGCGAGCTACTGCTCACTGATGATACCCCCAGCCCAAATATTTGATGGTAAACAGGAAGTTGTTGAGTGATTAATCTGAAAACGCATTACAAGGTAAAGCTGACTTATATAAACACTGTAACTAAATTTCAGAAATCCTTGTAATGTAGTTCCTGAAAAAAATGTGACGAAAATTTTCAACTTGGATGTGTTGTGTAAAATGATGTAAGTGTTCGGTAAACAGGAAGTTGTTGAGTGATCAATCTGAAAAAAAAAAAAGCACTGTTTCCCTAAAATTACAGCACCACATTTAAAGTACATTCCATTAAATAAGAATCCATTTAGATATAAGAAGATTCTGTAAAAACTAATCCATACAAAATCTTAAATTTTTCAAAACTGGTAGCATAAAAAAGAAGAGTAAAAGTGACTACACATAAAATTCAAACTTGATCTGTATTTTGTGGTAATAAGCATTGTGTATTAGTTTCATATCATTTGGTTGAGGCAAACTAAAGTTAGAGAACGGAAAATAACTCTGGGACGTATGGACAGACAGACAAGTGTAAAACTTAGTAAAAATTCAGCAATATTTCCATTTGTGAAGGGGCATAACTCTAGAACGGTTAAAGTGACACCACCAAATTCAAATTTGATCTGTAATTTGTGGTAATAAGCATTTTATATAAGTTTCATAACATTTGGTTGAGACAAACTAAAGTTAGAGAACGGAAAATAACTCTGGGACATATGGACAGACAGACAAGGGTAAAACTTAATGGCCCCTCCGCTACGACAGGGGCATAAAAAGCTCCATGACCAATATCTTTTATTATATTTATTACAATAGTGTGCTATCCTTCATACAATCTGCAGGATGTTCAACTTTTTATGAAAATTTGTGTTTGATGATAATATCAACACTAGTCCTTTTATCTAATTTCCACTTTTGAAGTTGTATATATTCATGCATTTTATTTTAGCAAAATCTCTTCAAACAGGATTTTTCATTCTCAGCTTGTTGTTAAGCAACCTATACAAGTTTGCTATTTCATGTGAAATTTGTATGAATCTTGAGAACACTTATACACAATTTCTGAATTTTACTAAAAGCTTCTTAATATATGAGAACTTGTCATATAAAATTCAGTGTGCAGAAAGACTAAGAAAGACGACTTATATCTTTCCTTCTCTGCATGAGTTATCTTTCTTCTTACATAAATTTAGTTCTCTGCAACAGTCCTGATAATTTGAAATAATAAAGCAGATGCTGATGACATAAGATGTACAAAATTTATAACAGTAATCAAAAACCTAGTTCAATTATAGTAAAGACATTGCAAAGTCCTTTAAAGAAAAAGAGAACTCACACCTAACAGACAGTGTTGATATAACATTATACTGGAAATAAATACTGCTAAAAGTAGACAAAAAATGTTAATCATAATAGTGCATTTAATCTCAAATAAAACATCTGCAGTATATGTTGGCTCCTTGTTGTAACCTCCAGTGACTATTAGATGGCAAGCCATCTTCAAGATGACATGTCATCCTAATCTTCTATATCATTATGACCCTTAATTAAATCCCTAGTAGTTCTTATTATTACATATACATGTTTAGTAGAAAAGTATTTAATGCAAGTATTAAGGTTGTATGGGACTGAAATTGTACATTTTGGTTAATCTAGTGCAGAAATATCATTTGAGATGCTACTGTGATGTGATAAAAAATGTCCAAATTAACCTATTTGACTGAAAACTGACATTTTACATAAATTTTTGGTAAATGACCTGCAGTCTTATCCAAACAAATATTTCACTCACATCAACATCTTTCTACAAGAAATAGTAGAGTAAAAATAGTCTTTGGATAAGGCAGTACCTGAGATATCTAGATCTTCAAATGAGGCTATTTTGGCAGTATTTTCAGACTTTCTTCAATGTAAAAAATTAGAAGGCTTTAAGCAAATGTGGAAGCCAAATACTTGGATATCTAAATACTGATATCTAACAGTATAATATCTTGTTAAAATCTGAACAATATTATTTGATAGATTTATAGTTTTTGTCAAATTCAAGGGGCCAAAAAAGCAGCCTAATCAAAACTTGTTCTTTGCTGATGTTTGCTACTTTTCGCACCAGCACTCAAGTACAACACTACTGCGCTGGTTAGAAAACATGTCAGAATTATCATTTTATTGCTTTTTTAAGTTAAATGTCAACTTGTTATATTGGGATTATTATTTCATGACAATATGAAATGATGTTTTATTAACATACCTAACAAATAATGACTGACAATGAAAAAGACACATTAACATCAATTTTACACAACACAGCATTAATATAATTTGTCCAATCTCCAACAAGATAGAACTGTAATTAGTGGGATAAAAAAGACATCAGACTTTTAAATTGTATCAAACCTAGGCTCTGTAGAGAATTTAAATTAGAAACAATGACATAAGTAAAACGCCTACTTATCATTTATTTGGTTAATGATTCTGTAGTAGATGAATCTAATGTCTTAAGGTTAATCTTATGATAGCAAATAATCTAAAAACACAAATGCTGATTATTCAACAGAGATCTATATTGCCAAAAAAATATTCCATCAATCTTTTCTCATATTTCCTAGCTAGTGCAAATAAATCATATATTACCCAACAATGCAACTATATGGTTTATATATTGTAAATTAACATAAAGCTCAAATGTTCAGTTTTTTAATATGTCTTAGAACTTAAAAGTAATCAACACTGCTTAAATAACATCCAAAATGCTCCTGTTTATCTTGAATAAAGTCATATATTTCTAATGTAAAGCAACATCTTCAATGAACTGAATTCACTTGGACTGATTGAATTTATTTACTGTCTGGGAAAATGCAAACATGTCTTGTGTCATGGATGAATACCCCATATCCTTTGTTTTTCTATTCTATCTTTAATACATTTGTAAAACTTTGTATTTTTTATCAAAATTACAAAAAGAAATTAAATTATTTTTTCCATACAACAGAGAACAAATTTTTCAACAATGTCCAAACCATGATGCATTAAATGCATGGTTAGTACATTATTTCTGAGTATTATATTGATAATAAATAAAAAAATTGTGTTTTATTTACACATTATTATAAGTTTAAATCATGTTTTAACACAAACTTGTTAGAACTGAATACAATTAAGTGGTGTTTCATCTGTGATTCCATACTGGTTATGAAAATGGAATTAGATTTCAAACTTTCAATGTCAGAGTGTATTCCATACACAAATTTGAGTCATTGATGAAAAAAAGTTTGTTACAGAATGTAAAGAGCTTGTGTCAGCTGACTTAATTATCCTTAGACTTGTCCAAGTTCTACATGAGCAATTTACAGTCAACACCTGAAAAATCTTTAAAAAAAATCTTCATAAAATAACAAAGGAATTCTATGATTGGTTTCAGGATCATTAAAAGTAGTCAACACTTGTTTAAGTTTTGGTGTTATTGCTACAAGAACACAGAATATGTATTGCAAATGATATGAATTTCTTCAGTATATTCAATTTTAAAGTTGATTTTGAGATAATTTAGGTAAATACCTTAATGATGTTTTCCAGTATATGACCATTTATAACAGCAGTATGTCTGGCAGTGATACGATACAGATCTACAACCATTTCTACACACTTCTCAGAAAAAGGAACAAAGTTCATGGTCACCCAAGCCACCTACAATTATAATGTCAACAAAACAATGTGGAAAGGATTTTGTCACAAAATTCTTCATATGTACAAGAGATATTGAGGTTAAATAAGCCATGACAGTCACCCAAGAAAACATATTAACCAAAACTGAACATATATGGGTTTAAGGTAAGATGGGTTCCTATTTACATAAACTTTCTATTCAATACTTTATGCACACTATTCAGACTGATATTCATCAGAAATGTGTGGTTGCAACAATTCTAATTGGTTAGATGCTTCACATCAATCATTTGTAATAGGTAGTCTAAAATGTGTTGTAGTTTTTTTTTACTTTGACTACTTCAAAAATATATGTTGCTCCAATCTTCTTAGGTTCCAATCACTGGTAAATATTAAGTTAGATTTTTTAATATTCAGGTCCTTTCTTTGTTCTTTTGAATCAAAACTACACTGACACCTTGGGTTCTAATCTTTTAAAATTGCATGCTTTACCTGTGGTCCTTTCACAGTTCCAAATGCTTTGGCTTCTATTTGTCCATATTTTGGTACCCTGACACCATACTCCACATAGGTTAACAACTGGTGGTATATATCTGGATACATAGACTGCATTTGTTCAGGACCACTATGTACAGCCTAAAGAGTATAAATATAACAGTTGTCATGGTTCAATGTTTGTTTGCAAAAACATAGTATCTAATATATATTTCACTATATCTCTTTAGGAAATTCCACATTTCTAGGCAGAAAAAAATCAATCATGTCTTATAGTATCATATGTGTTAAAAAATATTTTCCAAAAATTTCCAAAAAAAATGCAATTGAAGATTTCACAAGCAGTTACTAATGAAGTTTTTTTATTTGTTGATTTTGTGTTGTTATATGCATATGTTTCTTTATACTTTTTCAATATTGATTTTTTTTTTCGGGGGGGGGGGGGGAATTTATTGACCTGAAACTTTCAAATGAGACATACTGGATTACTAGCTTTGATTGAACACATTTAGACAGGATTTCAAAGAAAACAGTCACACAACTGAATATTTTGATTTTGTTTAACAATAAGTTTATTATAAACTAAAAGAAGAAAAAGTGTTATTTAAAAAAAAGTTTTAATTCAGAATTGAATTATTTTCAATTATGTATTTTCAACTGAAGCAAGTGATAGAAAATCCAGTGCTGTGCGAATCAATCTCTAAAATTTTCTGTGGAATAATATGGCCCACATGTTTTAACTAATTTCCGGTGCAGGAACAGAATATTCCTTTATCTTGCATGATTGCATAGAAAATGTAAAAATTCTCTAATCAAAATTATAAATACCTTTGTTATAAATAAATAATCTTTGAAAACATGTGAATTGTCCCTTCTATGTGTGAAGACAATTTAAAAATAAAAATAAATGTGGATAGTGTCCACATGTGGACACAGATGATGCCCCGCTTGCATATAATATAGTTATAAAGGGACATAACCGAACAACGGTAAAAGTGACGCTACCCAAATTTGAACTGGATCTGAGTTTTGTGGTAATAAGCATTGTGTGTAAGTCTCATAACATTTGGTTGAGGCTAACTTAAGTAGAGAACAGAAACTAAAAATTCAGCAATTTTTCTATTTGTAAACACGCATAACTCTAGATCAGTTGTGTATAAGCTTTATAACACTTGGTTGAGACAAACTAAAAAATTCAGCAATTTTTATGTTTATAAAGGGACATAACTCAAGAATGGTAAAAGGGTTGCCACCAAATTTCGTACTTAATCTGTATTATGTAGTAATAATCATTGTGTATAAGTTTCATAACATTTGGTTGAGGCAAACTAAAGTTAGAAAACGGAAACAACAAATTTGTACTTGATTTTAGTTTTGTGGTAAGGAATATTGTGTATAGGTTTCATAATGTTTGGTTGGGGAAAACTTAAATTACAGAATGGAAACTAAAAATTTTGCAATCTTTAGATTTATAAAGGGGCATAACTCAATAATGGTTAAAGTGACACTACCCAAATTTAACTTGATCTGTGGAAGTCAAAATTAAACATTGCATTGTATAAAGCATTGATTGTAGTTGATTCAACTATAATCATGGACAAAGGAAGATAACTCCAATTTTAAAAATTACTTGATATTTAGAAGAAAATAAAAAGTTTTGCAATTTTTCCATTTATAAAGGGGCATAACTCTAGAACGGATGAAGGGACACCACCAAAATTCAAATTTGATCTGTGTTTTGTGGTAATAAGCATTGTGTATAAGTTTCATAACATTTGGTTGAGGCAAACTTAAGTTAGAGAACGGAAACTAAAAATTTTGCAATTTTTCCATTTATAATGGGACATAACTCTAGAACGGTTAAAGTGACGCCACCAAAATTCAAACTTGATCTGTGTTTTGTGGTAATAAGCATTGTGTATAAGTTTCATAACATTTGGTTGAGGCAAACTCAAGTTAGAGAACGGAAACCAAGTTTGGGACCTAAGGACGGACGTACGTACGTACAGACGGACAAGGGTAAAACTTAATGCCCCCACTGCTACGGCAGGGGAATAAAAACCAAATTCTAGCAAAGACACATACATAGGAGTTTAAAAATTGTTCATTGCAGAAATTGTGGCCAGAATACTTCATTCATCATTCAGAGGAGGCACTGTAGCTCGTTTATCAATCATAAGGAGAAATTGTAGTACATTCATCATACATAGGAGACATTGTGGCTAAAATATTCTAAGTAGCTGATGCTGATATTGGCTATGTTGCCTTAGTATTTTGGCTAAAAAGGGTAAAAAATATGGTGTTTAAATTGGTTCCACTAAGGAACTTCAAACTTATCCAATGCACAATTTGAGCCCAGAACAGTACATTCATCACACAGAGATGAAGGTAAAGCTAAAACTACGACAAGTAGTGGATGCTTAAATTGGTTATGCTGCTTAGTATTTAACCTTGAAAGGGTTTTAAATCTGGTCTTATGAGGGGTTACACAAAGGCACTAACATACTTACTACAGCTTTTTTCACACAGATATAGTTGCATACAATAGATAGAAATATCCATGCCATATAAGGATTATAGAAGTATTAGTAAATTACTCTATTATCAATACATCCTACCACACTCACTACTAAAACTTGCATATCTGCAGAGTTATGGCTAACCAGTCACTTGCATATGGCTTTATGTGTGCAATTAACAACAAATTTTACACCAAACAGAGAAAATAACTCTTCAGACTATATTTCTAAAAGTTATTCAATATAATTTCCTATGTCAATCCCTACAACTATCCTGATGGTATCCCATGATTGCTATTGTTATTGTATACACTGGAATCATTTCCCATACAGAAAAATACAGGTAGTTTGCTGAAGAAGTGAAATAAATTTGTTTATTTCATTTTTAAATACAAGTGTCATTTAAAGTTAAAAGTCTTCCTCCCAGATGAAATAAGGCAACATATATCAACTATGTTATTGATGAAGGTCAAAAGCAATTTCACAGCCAAACTTCTAACACAATTATTACCTTAGAAGCTGCCAACTAAATTAAAATAAAACATATACAAAAGAAGGACTAATAATACTATATAAGCTGCATACTAAATAAACATATATAGAGACACAAAAACATGAAATTAAAACATAGAACTTGTGATTAATATTTATAGTTTAAGCAAATTCATTATTTTTAATATCTTTCAACAGCCTTATTTTGTAGTCATCCAATGGTCACATCAAATGATGACAGACATACATAAATAAAATTCTCCGTAAGATGCAGCATGATACCACTATGGAGGTTGAACCCTGAACAGTTGGGGCAAGTATGAACACAACATTCAAGCTTGATAAAGCTCTGAATTTTGATTGTGACTACATATTTGACATAGCATAGGTTTCTGACACAGAATAAATTGGACATTTACCTATTATGGTCCAATATCCAAAATATAAATACATGGATAGATTCAGCATATTAAAGAACCACAAGAATTCAATTTTTGATGATATCAAACAAAGTTTAATTATCGACCCTTTGGACCTCAATGTAGACCAATTTGAAAATGGTGCCCAAATTTCAAAATCTAAATACATCGTTAACAACAGATTTTCAAGCATCACTGAACAGACATTAATTGTTGAAATGTGCATCTGGTGCAGTAAAATTAGTACCGTTAATATCATAACTACCACTGGGTCAAACCTCTGCTGGTGGACTGTTAGTCCCTGAGGTTTTCACCAGCCCATCAGCCAGTACTTTGGTACTAGCATGAAAATATAAATATTGTTTTGATTAAAATTTACCATTAAAAAATTTTAGAAATCATTTTAAATTTAGGAATATATCTCTCTCATGCAAAGTTCTGATTTCTTGTCCAGTTTTTGCTATACTTTACGTCCTTTTGGTTGATCAGCTCTTCAACGTTTGTATTAGGTTTTGGATTTTCAAATATTTTTGCCCAAAGCAACACTGAAGTGATATTAATTGCTGAAACGTACATCTGGTGCAGTAAAATTGGTACCATTAATATCATTACTACTACTGGGTCAAAACAAACTTCTGCTTTTAGTACCTGAGGGTATCACCAGCCCATTAGCCAGTACTTCAGTACATGAAAATATGAATATTGTTTTGATTGAAATTCACTGTTATAAATTTTTAGAAATCATTTAAAATTAAGGAATATATCTCTCTCATGCAAGTTCGGTTCCTTGTCCAGTTTTGGCTATACTTTAGGTCCTTTTGGTTGATCAGCTCTTCAACGTTTGTATTAGGTTTTGGATTTTCAATTATTTTTGCCCAGAGCAACACTGAAGTGATATTAATTGTTGAAATGCACATCTGGTGCAGTAAAATTGGTACCATTAATATCATTACTACTACTGGGTCAAAACCTCTGCTTTTAGTCCTTGGGGGTATCACCAGCCAATTAGCTAGTACTTCGGTACTGGCATGAAAATACGAATATTGTTTTGATTGAAATTCACTGTTATGAAATTTTAGAAATCATTTAAAATTACCGGTAAGGAATATATCTCTCTCATGCAAAGTTCTGATTCCTTGTCCAGTTTTGGCTATACTTTAGGTCCTTTTGGTTGATCAGCTCTTCAATGTTTGTTTTAGGTTTTGGATTTTCAATTATTTCGCCTCGAGCATTAATTGTTGAAATGCGCATATGGTGCAGTTAAATTGGTACCTTTAATATTATTAAATTCAGCCTATCAAAGAACCCACTATATTAAATTTTTGTTGAAATTCAACAAACTTTTATTCTAGACCCAGATTTGGACCAACTTGAAAACTGGGCCCACAATCAAAAATCTAAATACATGTTTAGATTCAGCATATCAAAGAACCCCATTATTCATTTTTTGCTAAAATCAAACTAACTTTAATGTTGGACCCTTTGGACCTTAATATAGACCAATTTAAAAATCAGGTCCATAATAAAAAAATCTAAATACACTTTAAGATTCAGCATATCAAAGAATCCTTAGAATTCAATTTTTATTAAAATCAAACCAAGTTTAGTTTTGGACCCTTTAGACCTCAATATGGACCAATTTAAAAAGGGGACCCAAAATACAATTTCTGAATACAGGGTTAGATTCAGCATATTAAAGAACCCCAAGAATTCAAGACTTTGAATTAAACCCAATTGAAATTGGTCAAGAAATAAGCAATTTATACAAAGTATTAGAAAAGTATGGTTTTTTGCCCCTTTTTGGCTGCTAATTTCTAAATGGTTAGTGCCATAATTCTTGAAATCAATCCCAACCTTCCTTTTTTGGTATGACACCTTGTGGTACAATTTCATAGAGATCCATACCATTATACGGCCGCAAATTTTTGCAGTCGAATAAAAAGATAAAAATTTAATATCCAACAATCTTGAGATTTACAAAGTAAGAGTAAAGCTCATGCAATGAGTATTCTTTGGGCAAATTTACACAAAAAAGAGTATCAAATATCATAAAATGATATTTTCTTTACCTTAATAAGGACATCCATTGCTTTCAGTACTGCTTCTTGTAAAGGTGTCACTGTGATTTCTGGGTAGGAGGGTATAATAAATGGTGAAGCATCACCATGGACAGGTACAGACAGGGCCATCTGTAGCACTGACGACAGTTTCTGTAAATCAGCAGTGACAAACCGTGGTTTGATATGTTCAAATAGATAAGGAAATGTTTGTATAAGTGCTGTTAAGAAAGCTTGAGACGGAACATAAACTTTGACAGATTTGTTTGTAACTTTCTGTGGTTTTGTTGAATTAGTTCCAATGTTTAACCAAACTTTCCATGCAGCAGTCCATAAAGACAGATCATATTCAGTTTCAACATCGGATGACAGTTTGTTTGATTGCAATTGTTCGTTTGACTTTTGGTCCTCTGTTCTATGTATGACCTCCTCTGGTGGTGGGGTCATTTGAGGTAAACCTTCAATTTTCTGATCCTCTGGTTTATCTTTACTAATTTGTAAAATTTCTTGGAAACTTTTAAGAGCTGCCAGTGATACTTCAGCACTCTGACACAATGATGCAGTTTCTAAATATTCTAGTAAAAGTGTCCAAGCTCGAGGAAAATCTCCTGCAAAACACAAAAGGAAAACATGCATGTTGAAATTAATCTATTGACATTGTAATGTCTTCAAGTGCATTAAGAAAATGTTATGGTGTTGTATCTGCTGGACTTAAAACTGATAAGCTTTTTATAAATTTTTCATAAGTTATTCAACCTAAAATATTGTTCATGCTTGCATTCTTCTTTTTCTTGCTAAATAACATTTTAATTTGACTTACAAGATAACAATAGCATTATTCTTCTGGATTTTTTTCCCTATGTCTTTCCTAAGCTTTTTTGTTTATATATCAAAATCTTTGCTAAATACATTTTAATATTACAGTTTTGTCAATCAAGTAATTTTCTAGGGCTAAAATGCAACAACAAAAGAAATACTAATGTGTAACTTGAAGTAATTATATTTTTTTCAATCTACGTTTTTGTCTCTAAAGGTTTCCCTATTATTACGTAGATAATAAAGAAATAAATTTGGTAAAGTCTATTGGTGGTAAAAAACGTGAAATTACAAAAAATTAATACTTATTTTCAGGCATATTCATGAGAAATGTTGTCATGATAGTCAATTAAAAGTGAAGACAAGTTCATAAAAGTAAAAGAAGTAATCATAGAGGATAACAAATCTATTTTCAATTAAAAGCATAACTTATGTATGTAATTATATACTTATTTAATGATCTTGCTATTATTCTTTAATCATAATAAAATAAAAAGAAAAAATAAATGAAAGAAAATTGTGTCAATGGGACACAGATGCTTGTAAATATGCAAAAGTCAATGTACTAATTTAAACTTATTGACGTTTTGTTTTCTTTAAAACAATGAAGAAACAGCAAATTTTTCCATTTATAAAGGGACATAACTCAAGAACAGTGAAAGTGACGCCACCAAAATTAAAACTTGATCTATATTTAGTTGTAATAAGCATTTCGTATATGTTTCAAAATATTTAGTTGAGGCAAACTAAAGTTAGAGAAAGGAAAACAATTTTTGGGCATACTTAAGTACAGCAGACAAGTGTATACCTTAATGCCCATTTTAGTGGAGGGTGCATAAAAAACATACATTTAAGGAAAAAGAAATAGGCAAAAAAGTTTTAAATGTTTGAAGCATTTAAACATGTTAACATACTGCATATAGTGCTTACTTGTAAAAGACTGTAAAATAACTGAAGAGAAGAAAACATGTTGTAACTTGAGTACATGTACAACTTTCAAAGTTGTATGAGATACTACTTGTGAACAATTTGAAAACAGACACCATTTTGCATTTAATTTTTTGCTACTATTATGAAAAGATCTGGTGTATTTAGACTTGAAGATACAAAAGCTGTGGGCATAATTATTAATATTGATAAACATCACTTATATCTTCATCAGTTGTACTTAGTGAATAGTTGCCTCACTGGCAATCATACCACATCTCCTTATTATTATATTTATTATTTTTCTAAGATAATGTTTAAATTGCAAGTATTATAAAAGCGTAGACCAATCAATAGTTTATGTAGAATATTACAAGAATGTGTCCATAGTACATGGATGCCCCACTCGCACTATCCTTTTCTATGTTCAGTGACTGTGAAATTGGGGTCAAAACTCTAATTTGGCATTAAAATTAGAAAGATCATATCATTTTTGCACAAACCTATTGGCTGAAGAAATCTTCGTTTTGAGTTGAAAGTTCTAGCTACACCAGCCAGTGTTAAAACTCTGGTTTCTGCCCACTGTTTTTCTGCTGTATCTCTAGAATGATGAATCAGAATGTTTCCTGTTGCGGCCTCGTCTTTTACATTAGAAGCTTGACTTGATAGTTTCTGTACATCTGCTAACAGGGGGAACAAAACCTAAAGAAATAGTGTCATAGATTAGTGCTTAACAGATAGGTTATTGCTATTTTATTCATTCTATTGTCCCTCTTTTATATGAATACAAGATTAGACACCTAATCATAAAATAGGAAATGATTTCATGCCAAATTAGATGAGTGAAACTATTATCAGGATTACTAAAACACTACAAGTAATAAATTTTAAATTATGATGACTTCCTGACATTTGTTATTTCGAACAAACCCTATATTGTAGTTCTGGATTTATTAGAATTTTGTAATTAACTTGAAACTTCCATTTTTTATTTCTTTTCTCAGAATGAAAAGTAGGGTGGTCGATTCCTGAGGAATTTAAAATTCAAAGTCATTAAAATCATTTCAAATTTAAAGTAAGTTTTTAAAAGTTTATTTAAAAAGGTAAAAAAAAATCATGAAGTTCATGCTCTTAAGCCTGATACAAGTTTGTTTATGCCATGATTTCAGGTATGAAAGGAGTAGGTTCGATAACACCCTAAAACTTCCCCTATTTCTAGCTACAATTTCAAATTAGGATTTATTGACCAATATCACAATGAATCATAGCTAATACAGTGACTAAATAGAAAATATGTCTTTTTGTTGAAAATCTACGTACTTGCGTTCTATTCATGATGTCACAAATAGCACTCATTTTGATTTTCAACGAAAATTCAATGAAAACGGGTAAATTTCCAATGAATTTTTGGACAGGAAACACAGAGCGCATGCGTCGACAAAAAACCTTTTTTAACAAAATGTTTGTTATCACATTTTACATATCTGACTTGAATATTTAGTTTGTTGACGCCTGCGCTCTATGTTTCCTATGCCTTAATTTGGTCAACTTTTGCATAAATCTCTATTTTTGACCTATTTGGGATGTAAAAATCAACGCTTTAAAACTAAAACTTTGGCAAAAAAAGTTCTATTCAACTTTCTCACATGTATTTTTATCACTTTTAAAACATTAATTATCTTGAAACATTAAACTTAATAATCGGGGCCAAATATGACCCTTATCGAACTTACTCCTTCAGTTAGAAGAAACGGACCAAAAATGTGAAATTTTTTTGACTATGTAGCCCTTGTGAAAAAAAAAATGTTTTCAAAAACCGCAAAAGGTACAAAAAAAAAAAAGACAAAAGAAAAAACTTTGACGATAATGATCAAAAACTTTTCACCACATTTCGTTCTTTTTTAAAGTCAGACTATCTGGATCATGTGTTGTTTGTTTATTTTTGGAGGAGTCCCATGTTGGTGGTTAGTGTCGTCTGATGTACTGTCAAATGCTTCTGTTATCCTTTTGATGCTTTAATCTATTTTTTACAACTCCTACCTGCCATAAAACCTTTTGCCATGTGTCTTTATAAAGGAGGCTTCCATGAGCTGATATCATAGAGAACAAAGTCTGTCCTGCACTCTTTCTGATAGCTGGTCTCTGGTCCACACATAGTTTTCCAAGTTTGCTATACAAGCACATCCATAGGGAGTCAAAAGCTGGCATACCAAGTTTTTTACTATCATTTTCTGACAAGTCTGATTCAAGTTCTTTAGCAATTCTTTCCCGATTTTGGTAGAAAAAGTCAGAAATATTCCACTGAAAGAGAAAAGTCTTAAATAAAACTGTTAAAAGTTACCAGGAAAAAAATTAAATACATACAATCATTTGTTTATCATTAGTGGTCTCAAAACATGCAAAATCATACATGTAATTACAAATTATCTTTAAAGTGCTGTATTAAAAAAAATGGTGAATTTTTTATGTTAAGTGACATAAAGCAAGATATTTTACATAAAACAACATTGTTTTCAATAGCTATCAATTGTTTAAATAGCTTGAGATAAAATTGAAATGACAAGTTGCAAGAACAATTTGTTAACATATATATGGTTTTGGTTGTAAACTGACCTTATGACAAATTGATAAAAAAAAAACAAATTGTAGGCATGATTAGACCAAAAGTGAAATGCAAATAAGCTAAATAATCTTTATGGAAATGTGATGAGCAAAAGTTAGTCCAAACACATATCTAATATTATTCACATATCATAACTTTTCTGTTAACCAACATAATTCACAAACTTTGAGTTAACTTACTTGGTGTCAATAAATCTGACTTAATCATACTTATAATTAATGGATCATGTTAAACAGATCCTAAAATCAAATGCAAATCATGTAAAAATGTTACCTGATTTTTCTCACAAGTATTTTTCTGTTAACTGATCTAATTACAAACTTTACCCATTGTTTTCACCATTGATGTGTTAAATTTTAACAACATTATCTCCTGCACTTTAGGTGATCTTGGGAGACAAAAACAAGCTTCATTAGATACTGTCAATCAGGTGTTAATTGGATGAAAGACAGCTTAGGTTTTCCAGAATATGCATATACTGTGCACCAAAATAGCAGCCATAGATCAATTCAAATTAGTTTCTCAAGTTCTTTAAGTAATCTTTAGCAACTAACGTTAAATGACTTCGGAAAGTATGACGTTGTGATTCTAAATTTAAGGGAAACATTAGATTCTCACTGAAGGGTGTCTATTCTTTAAACATCAACTACAGGGTTAGGTTTTTTGTGATGTTGGGTTGCTGTCTCATTGTTCATAAAGATCACATTTTCATTTTTTTTTACAGTCAATGCTCAGTGGCAGATCCAGGAAGGGGGGGGGGGTCTAGGGGTTGGAACCCCTCCTTTTTAAAAAAATGGCTGAATCCACCCCTCATGCTATATACATGTTGGTTCTTCTGCAACACATTTTTTTTGTAAATTTGTACCAAATAAAATATCTTTTATAATGAATTGTAATACTTTTTCATATTTGATAACATTTGTTACAAATATACATTATATTACCAATAGTCCAATAGATGTCAGACTGATGTTAAGTTCTTGATGCTGTAAACCAAACTTTGCTGCCACCTCCACACAAACTTGTAAATACTGACAAGGTATTATGGGAAGGAAATCTGTAACTACCAACTGTAAACTTTGAAAAGCTGTCTGTATCAACTTTTCCCTGAAATATCATATCATCTTTTAACCATATGAAATTTTATGCTTATTCTTTTACTGCTGACGAATCATTGCTTTTCCACCTTCTACTATTGAAATCATTTTTGGTAAAGATGCTACCAGACATATCATAATGTGTACTTATGGTTAAATGCATATCTGTAATCATTCAAAAGATATAACTGAAAACAATCCATTATCCTAGATGTGTTTAGGTTTTTTGAGTTGCTGGGTTGCTGTCTTATTGCTGCATACCACACATCTATAATTAATAAGCCATTTATCTTTTGAAACACTTTTAACACAAAAGACAAATACAGCTCAAAATTGAAAAAAAAATTGTATACTTTAAAAATGGTAAATTGAAGGTAATATAATTTAAAATTCGTAAGGGTTCCGTGGAACCCAGTGTCTCGCCTACTTTTGCTGTTAATCGCAGGCTCAACAAAAATGAGGAAAAAAATAAATAAAAATATTCCTCTCTACAATATCTTTTGATTGTAAGTAGCTTCTGTCCAAGTTTGGTAAAAATCCAGGATAGTTTATGAATCTAATAAATGTTTTAAAAACTTAAACTGCAGACTGTATGTAATGTTAACTGGAAGAAAAACTAAGTCCATTTATAAGTAAAATATGGAAAAAATGGAACAAAATTTTAAAAAAATTTTCTTCTAGATACTAGCTTTTAATCATACACAAGCTTCTGTCCAAGTTTGGTACAAATCCAAGATAGTTTAAGAAAGTTGTTAAAATTTTAAAAACTTTAAACCACAGAGTGAATGCAATATTAACTGGCAGAAAAACTAAGTCCATTTATAAGTAAAATACTGAAAAAATGATTTTATTTTTTTTACAAAATTTACTTCTGGATACTATCTTATGATCATAAACAAGCTTCTTTCCAAGTTTGGTAGAAATCCAGGATAGTTTAAGAAAGTTATTAAAATATCAAAAACTTTAACCACTGAGTGAATGTAATGTTAACTGGCAGAAAAACTAAGTCCATTTATAAGTAAAATACGGAAAAAATGGATTTTTTTACAAAATTTACTTTTGGATATTATCTTATGATCATAAACAAGCTTCTGTCCAAGTTTGGTAGAAATCCAGGATAGTTTAAGGAAACTTTAACCACAGAGTGAATATTTGTGGATGCCGCAGACGACGACGATGGAATGTAGGATCGCTATGTCTCGCTTTTTCGACAAAAGTCGAAGGCTCCACAAAAATGTCCAAACATAGATTTTTGGTGTTTTTATGGTGAATAGGAGAATTTTAATATAGTTTTCATTATATCAAGGTTTGTAATTTCTTTGGTTTTTCTTTAGGAAAAATAGCTCCATCATTAAACCTATTCTATAGTTGTTTTGTTGTTTTTACTTTTATGGACATTTTAGATATGTAACTTTGTAGCAAGGAAGAAGGAAAACAACAGAAAGTCTGGGAAACATGATTGTTTATCAGTTGTAATTGGCTTTGAACTAGCTTTCAGTAACTGTGAGCACCCTTAGATTGGTACTTTGTGTATTAAGTATTTTTGTTAGTTGTTTTTTGTGCTTTGTGTCAATCAGATGAGTCAAACCTTCTCTTCAACTAATTCTTTCAGTTTGTTCTCATACTATGAATTTACATTACTGTCTCAGGTTAGAGGAGGGTTAAACACTTCAAGTTCAACCCAGCCACATTCTGTATGTTCCTGTCTCAAATCAGGAGCCTGTAATTCATTGGTTGTTGGTGGTTTCTGTCTTTCATGTGTGGTTTTTGTTCATTGTTTTGTACATGAAACAGGCTGTTTGTTTCACTCCACAATTATAAGTTTCTTACCCTTGGTCATTTGTAACAGCACCAATAACTCCAAGCACCAATGGCCACCCATGAACGAGTTTATCCCCATTATTGTGTAGAATCTGTAGAATACATTCTAGCTGTCTCTGTCTGATATCTGGTTGGTGAATGGTAGACAGTTCTTGTAAAGGTCCAAGAATACATGTTTGTAATTTCTACAATTAAAACATTTTTGGGCTCTTTACATGAAAGTGATGCAAAAATACTGACACATAAGACTTTTCTGTATCAATCCTGCCAAGACTTCCCATTTCATAACCTTTCCAAATACTTATTTCCAGAATCATAAATCTGGCTCTAAAATATTATATGAACCAAAACATTTTTCCAATGCTAGAAATATGGGTTTGCAGCAACAAAGAGTCAAGGATTTGCTACTTTTCATTCCTTTTTTTGCAAAAAATATTTGGTTGATATAAATTTTGGAACTAAAGATTTCTTTTAAGCTTACTATTTAATTCTCACTGTTGCTAAGCATTTAAGGATGTACTTAGGTCAGGTTTATGAATTTTTGTCAGATGTTCAGACTCATTGTTTTTTTTCCTGCAATACAGGGTAAAATATTTTGCCCCATAACACCCATTTTTCTATTCATATAAGACTTCAATAGCTCTTAAAAGGTAATTTACCAAAAATTAAGCAGATTCAAATTTCTGTTCTTTCGATTTGAGACCCAAATAACACCAATGCAAGTATAAGGTAAAAGTCCGAGTCAGCCTTTTCCCGCCATTTTTTAACAAGAGTGCACACGCTGAAATGTCTCGCCTTCTTTACTAATCATTGATATTATGTTGACAGTCCTAAATATAAAGCTTTATTAAAACTGTCACATAAACTTAACATTAACCAAGTAAACTAAATATTGACCAATGAACCATGAAAATGACGTCAAGGTCAGATGAACAATGCTAGGCAGGCATGTACAGCTAACAATTCTTCCATACAACAAATATAGTTGACCTATTACTTATAGTTTAAGAAAAACAGACCAAAACACAAAAACTTAACACTGAGCAATGAACCTTGAAAATGAGGTCAAGGTTAAATAAAACCTGCGTGACTGACATATAGATCATAAAATATTTCCATACATCAAATATAGTTGAACTATTGCATATAGTATTAGAAAAAAAAAACCAAAACTCAAAAACTTAACTTTGACCACTGAACCATGAAAATGAGGTCAAGGTCAGATGACACCTGCCAGCTAGACATGTACACCTTACAATCATTCCATACACCAAATATAGTAGACCTACTGCATACAGTATAAGAAAAACAGACCAAAACACAAAAACTTAACTATAACCACTGAACCATGGAAATGAGGTCAAGTTCAGATGACACCTGCCAGTTGGACATGTACACCTTACAGTCCTTCCATACACCGAATATACTAGACCTATTGCTTATAGTATCTGAGATATGGACTTGACCACCAAAACTTAACCTTGTTCACTGATCCATGAAATGAGGTTGAGGTCAAGTGAAAACTGTCTGACGGGCATGAGGACCTTGCAAGGTACGCACATACCAAATATAGTTATCCTATTACTTACAATAAGAGAGAATTTAACATTACAAAAAATCTTAACTTTTTTTCTCAAGTAGTCACTGAACCATGAAAATGAGGTCAAGGACATTGGACATGTGACTGACGGAAACTTCGTAACATGAGGCATCCATATACAAAGTATGAAGCATCCAGATCTTCCACCTTCTAAAATATAAAGCTTTTAAGAAGTTAGCTAACGCCGCCGGATCACTATCCCTATGTCGAGCTTTCTGCGACAAAAGTCACAGGCTCGACAAAAATTAAATATCTCGAAATGCTCCATAACCTATCAATGTTTTTAGCTTATTTTGTTCCCTAACTAATGCTCTTCTGACCTAAAGTATCAATTTTAAATTCTGTATTTTTTTTAATTTCACCTAAGTACATCCGTAAGCATTTTGAAGATTAAAAAATTAAAAAAATTCTAAACTGAACAGGAAAAAATTGTATACTGGTAAGGCTGACTTTGCTTCAACTACAATCAACCAGCAGCTACAGTGAACCAGTGGCTGTACTATTTAGCAACATGGAAAATAACTTGCTTCAAATTGTAATTTTATGAGTTAAGAATCAGAGATGCCAGTAAAAGCTATGTGGTTTAAAACAAGACAGATACAGAAAAGTCTATGTATTGATCAGTTTATCATAAACTTCTAAAATCTAATATGAGAAATTTCAGTAATAAAGGCATTATTTAACATTACTGGAATTTTCAGTACTTCTGTCAGATATTCAACTTTTAATATTGAATACAGTACATGTATTACATCTGTAACAAACATTAAGTGTCTTACTATATAAATAAATGTGGATAGTGTCCACATGTGGACACAGATGATGCCCCCGCTTGCATATCATATAGTTATAAAGGGACATAACTCAAGAACAGTAAAAGTGACGCTACCCAAATTTGAACTTGATCTGAGTTTTGTGGTAATAAGCATTGTGTGTAAGTCTCATAACATTTGATTGAGGCTAACTTAAGAAGAGAACAGAAACTAAAAATTCAGCAATTTTTCTATTTGTAACAAGCATAACTCTAGAACGGTTGTGTATAAGTTTTATAACATTTGGTTGAGACAAACTAAAATTAGAGAACGGAAATGAAAAATTCAGCAATTTTTGTGTTTATAAAGGGACATAACTCAAGAATGGTAAAAGTGTCGCCACCAAATTTCGTACTTAATCTGTATTATGTAGTAATAAGCATTGTGTATAAGTTTCATAACATTTGGTTGAGGCAAACTGAAGTTAGAAAACGGAAACAAAAAATCTTAGTTTTGTGGTAATGAATATTGTGTATAGGTTTCATAATGTTTGGTTGGGGCAAACTTAAGTAACAGAATGGAAACTAAAAATTTTGCAATCTTTCGATTTATAAAGGGGCATAACTCAATAATGGTTAAAGTGACACTACCCAAATTCAACTTGATCTGTGTTTTATCAGTGGAAGTCAATATTAAACATTGCATTGTATAAAGCATTGATTGTAGTTGATTCAACTATAATCATGGACAAAGGAAGATAACTCCAATTAAAAAATTACTTAATATTTAGAAGAAAATAAAATTTTTCCATTTATAAAGGGGCATAACTCTAGAACGGATGAAGGGACACCACCAAAACTCAAACTTGATCTGTGTTTTGTGGTAATAAGCACTGTGTATAAGTTTCATAACATTTGGTTAAGACAAACTAAAATTAGAGAACTGAAACAAAAAATTCAGCTATTTTTCCATTTGTAAAGGGGCATAACTCTGGAACGGTTAAAGTGAGGCCACCAAAATTCAAACCTGATCTGTGCTTTGTGGTAATAAGCACTGTGTATAAGTTTCATAACATTTGGTTAAGGCAAACTAAAATTAGAGAACTGAAACAAAAAATTCAGCTATTTTTCTATTTGTAAAGGGGCATAACTCTGGAACGGTTAAAGTGAGGCCACCAAAATTCAAACTTGATCTGTGTTATGTGGCAATAAACATTGTGTATAAGTTTCATAACATTTGGTTGAGGCAAACTAAAGTTAGAGAACGGAAACCAATTTTGGGACGTACGTACGTATGTACAGACGGACAAGGGTAAAACTTAATGCCCCCTCCGCTACAGCGGGGGCATAAAAAAAGAGCAAATTTTGTAAATGTTTGAAACTACACTCTATCATGTCCAACTTGATGAAGGCCCTAAAATTCAATTGTAAATTACTAAATGTATTTATCAATTAGTTTTGATCACAATTGTAGTTAAAAAATAAAGTACAAAAACATAATTCTTAGTCAATCTTTGAATTTTTTCCAACTTGTACTATAGACCAGTATAATTTACCAGATTTTGATGTAATGGAGGATCATAAGTATGACTGAGTGCTGCCTTGACTAATGAGGTTACAGCCTCTGCTCCCCAACATCTCATACCATTGTGTGGATGTTGACATACCTACAATGTAACAGATATTCATTTTAGGACTACAGACAGCATTTTTATATTTCATAAATAACAGATATATATTGTTCAAGTTTTAGGTGATGACCAATTTTCCTATACATTTGTATTTGCACATATTGTATATGAAAGAAATTCTATATTTTATTAATTTACTAGTACACAAATTTAAACATATTCAAAATGTGGAGGTACAAAAGAAAGTATAATATATCAAAGCATAAATTAAATTGTTGTTCTCTCAACATAACAGTCAAACCTTAAAGCTGAAACAAATCACATAAATTACATATAAATGGCACAGTAAAATAATTTGTGCCTAACAAAGTATGAGAAGAAATGCCTGTCTATACATAGATTATACCCTTTGATTAAAATTACCGGTAGAAAAAATCTGAAATTGAGATGAAATCCTGAAAAGAAAAAAACATATAGTAAACAGACAACAATATTATTTAAGGAATAAAATTACGAAATTGTAGAAACAGGAAATTAAGTTCACCTGAAAATATACAATAGACAAATTATTTCATAATATTGTTTATCAATATGTTTATAATATACATTGAATAGAATACAATATTGATAATTTACAGTACAAATGAATCATTCTGTCAATATAAACTAACTTTAATACAACTTATAATTTTCAGTCTATCTAACATTACAACTACAAAAGAAAATAGATCAAAATAAAACATCTTGTTTCTTTGAAACTTTGAAGTATCCCCCATGTTGAACTTGCAGTGTGGTGTAAGCTTTGGCTGCATATTGAAGGCCTTAACTGCTTTGAGAAGAAGAGCTGCATTGAAAGCATTTGGTTTTGTCATGTGTGTATATAGATTTTGCATGATGAATTTATACTGTTCATCACATAGATATACCTTCTAACATTATATGTGGAAATTTGTACAAATACACATTAAAAACTCTTTTCTTGCATGGTTGTAAATTTTTTTTTTCTAAATTAAGATTGTCTAGTAAAGGTAATTAAGGAATAACAGTACTGTAGTTGTAGAGTTGCTGCTGTCAATTGGTGATTTGATGATTAGAAATGCAGTTTTACTGGCAACGGGTAGCCATGATTTTGGCGCATAGATGTCATGCCTTAAAGTGACTTCATACAAATGAGAACTTACAAACTAAAGGTTATTACATTACTTCTATCATTCAAATTTGGATAAAACCACATAGAAAATTTGGTGTTTTTGAAGTAGGTATTGTTTTATTTTCGATAATATTGTATGTAGTAATAGAACATTTTTTGATACAAGCAATTCAAAATGGCGGGTCACTCCTTAGTTACAACATGTTAACTGTGGATTTAATGGTAACTTTTAGCCAATGAAAAAAATAGTTACATAAAAATTGCATTAGAATATAATACTGATAACTGAAATGTATGCATCATGTCACAATATTTGAACTTACTGTCCTTCTGTTTGTCTAGATACCATTTATGATTAAACCTTTACAAATGAATAGCGAAAGAAAATTTGATCTTTAATCATAATTTTGTAACAAACATAGTTTGCACAATGGTTAATCCTTAGGGTTTGACATACCTGATATGATAACAAAAACCTGCCTAACTATCTTTCAAAGCAATGCTTTTTTCTCCTTTTCATTGTCTTAGCTGGTGTTTTCTTCCAGTTTTTTTCATATGCTTCACTTCAAATTATAGTGCTGTAACAAAATAAAAACAAATGTTTTATTGCTATTTAAATCATTTGTCTGTAAGATTACTTAGGTGCATGTGTCAAATTTCAAGCCAATGTTATATAATTCAATTTCACTAAAAGCAATTTGCAATTTAGAAATTCTGTAATGATTTGCTTTATTTGGAATGAATTTCATTATAGTCATCTTTGCCTTAAGTTAAGACTTTGCAATCAATTTATGACAATCTTACTGAAGAAAATATCTGAATATCAATTCCAAATTTACGGGACAAGGTGAAAAGGGTGTTTTGTAAATCCACAAATCTCCTGTTATATTAGCAATAATAATACCAAAGGCAATGAAGAATGGTTTAATTCAATTGCTTTGTCATGAACAACAAAAATAAGATCCACTTTTTAATGAAAAAGTTTTTGATAAATCTTTCAACTTTTATCTTTAAGATTGTGACTCAGTACTAAATGGAACTATATCAACTAATATTCTGCCATTCACTGGCATACTTTTAAAATATAAATGATATAAAAACATTAATTTTTTACAACTCTGATTGCATATCTATATAATATATCAATACAGAATGAGACACGTACCATCTAAATTCCACACTTAATACCCAACCAGCAGGTTGATTAAATTATTTCCTGGTAAAACTGTTTCATTTATAACCAAAATGTCTGAAGAGACAGACAGAAGTATAATACCAGTCTTAAATCATATTAATGAACAAGTATATTAAAGCATCAAAACTAGAGGCTCACATAAGTCTGTGCCAAACATTTAGAATTTATTAGTAATATGTTGAACAGTCTCATTATTTTCTACAACACAGTAAAACAGAGGATATACCAATTTCAAATGGCAATCAAAGAATTATGATACAATGAAATGAAAAACTTATCTAGCAGACAATTAGGATAAAATTTGTGTTAAAAAAAAAGGAACAACCTTGACCCAACACAACTACAAACAAATTTGCCTGTAGGAAATCTCAAGAAACTTGCCATATTTGTTGGGCCATCAGTACCTGGTACAATGTATCAAATCAAAGTACTGAAGTACTGAACATCGGATAAAAGCGAGTTCTTGTGGATGGTCACAAGCACTTGTCTCAGAAAAAAAAATCCCATCTGTATACCTGAAAGTGAGGTTAATGTACAAATATATATTTTTTTCTGAGACAAGCTCGTTCATGGATGATGAATAAATGAGAGGCAATTCAACTTCACTGTAATAACTATTATATATTGTAGTGATACAAATCAGTATACTCTGGTATGTTGTCATGTATATATTATATTAATGTTTGCATATAACAGTTACATGTATATATAATTTTCATCCATTTGAATATCAGTCTATTCTACTATTCTAATAGTAGTGCAGTGCAAGTGCATGGTGGACACTCTTCTGTCATAATTTGATTTTTCTAATAGATTGGATTTGAGCAGGCATTCATATTTTACCGCAAAAAGTTGATTCATATTGCCACAATTTGTGCTGTGTTCATACTATTTTTTATTAATATCTTTTAATATTTTAACGCAACAAAGACATTATAAACCCTTATTTAATTCACCTTAACTAATTTAATTTTTGAATTATATTCTATCATATTGTAAATATAAAGATATCCGCTTTTTCGGTTAAGTAAATATTTTAAAATTGCTCATCCGATAAGTGGAGTGCTCCAAATCTAAACGGAGGTACATACCTGAACAGAACAGAACAGAACAGATATTCTTCTGCATGCGTTAACACAATTTTTCTGTACATGTGCATAGATATTATCAATGATTTTTTACTTATATATATATTTCTAACGACAAAACATTTTCATATTATTAATTTATGTTCTGAACAAAATATTTTTATGAGTATTCATTGAAAAAAATGGATTTAAAACTAGCGATAAGGAATGTTATTTTCCACTCGATAATGTCTGCGTATATAGATCGGTTACCAGTCAAACACGAAAGTTAAGTCAGTAGAAATCTCGTCGGCAACAATACATCGGAATGCCCTCATGGTCATCGCGATGTAAAAAGGAGTACTTTTGTCATCTTCATTTGCAACTGGTCTAGCTTTTTTCAAGAAAAAAAAATCCCAGAAGTTTTATCCAATCAGAAAACTTAATTTTTCCTTTTGGCAGCAAGGTTTGTTATGGAAATTAAAGTAATAACATTTGTTCTATTGTTATAAAAAAGAACTCTTTCAATTTTGGTCTCATTTTGTTTCAGCTGACAAAATTATAGTAGAGGGACAACAGACAGACAAACACTTAATCATGTTAATAGGGCAAAATATTATTGCACAGGAAATAAGACCATTCCCCAGAATGAGTTTGTATTTATCAGTCTATTTAAATCTTTGCAAGACAAAGCTGATGAGCTGTCCCATTGAATAAATACAAAAATTGTTCTCTCTGGTGTTTACAAAAATTTGGAATTCCACAATTTATTCCAAGAGATATTGATTCATCTGTACATTTTCATAAAATTAATACTTTACACTACAAAATGTCAGTCTTTTTCTATGGAAGATTCCATAAGCCTGCTGTCCACAAATAATATAAGCAGAAACAACAAAGTCTGCGTTGAGTTATGGGAACCCCAAAAATACCTTGAATCACAAATCAAATAGGACAACTTATGTCCTGTAGAAGAATCTGTGCAATCTGTCAAGCCATTTCAAGCAGGACGACAGCAAATGAAGTGATCCAGGAGAGTGGCTACAGCTTAGCTGTCATTAGACACAACAAGGAATCAGCTTAGTCCTAATTAAACCAACATAAGGTGGAAGATTTTTTATGGATTTTCAACTTCATATAGATTCTCATGGTATTCAGGGGCCTTTCACAGCTTACCATATGGTATGAGGTTTATTCATCATTGTAGACAATACTATGATCAATAGTTTATATTTTCATTGTATTTTGTTCTATGGTGGATATATATATAGTTGTCTCATTTGCAATCATGTTACATCTCCTTTTTTTTTTATCTTAATGTTCAACAGAGGCAATACTTAAGAAAACAGATTCATTGCACCTTTTTGTGACATTCTTTCTGTTTGAGACAAAACTAGTTTACTTTTGAAAAATCGTTTTTTATTCCCCTTTCAAGTGAGATCTTAAAAAAAATCCAATTTTTCTAAGCAAATAACCTTATTAACTGAACATAGCGGACCTTCAGGAACCTCAAATTCATTTGATTGTTAGAAGGAAATCCAGTCACGTACCTTGCTTTAAACTGACAATAAATGTCTTCATAGCAAACATTTTAAAATAGTTATCCTCAAACAATTCTCAGAAAAGGAAATCCATTCAATTATGATTTTTCTTAATCTTTTCTTATTGATTGAAATTTAGAACCAGACTAGTGACAGAGAAAATGTTGACAAGTACTCATTCAGGTTCACAAGGATTTTTTTTCAACTGATTTTCACTTAATCTTAAAGACTTCCACAGACAAAGTTTATGATTATTGAATAGCAGAACTAAAATTAAGGAGCCAACAGTTGAAAAGAAAAGTAGTGTGCTTTTATATTAAAATAGATAAATACTTATATTATGAGATTAGAAGATTATGTGCATCTACCTGGGGCAGCAATTTTGGATATAATGCTTATTTCAATAGTTAGTATTTTGGATGCTACTCTTTATGTCCCCTATGAAGTCAAAAACTCAATTCCTATTTTAAATCTATCAAAAACATCCCTCTAAAGTTCTGACAATCTACTCTGTCAGCTATCAGTAACAAATATAAAAATTTTGTCTCATAATCTTACTCTGCCAACGTCTTACATCTTTTAAATAATGAACTAGAGGCTCTAAAGAGCCTGTATTGGTCACCTAGGTCTATGTGCATAATCAACAATGGACTTTCTTGTAGACAAGAATAAAATACATGACAAAAATTTCTTTTTTTGTTGATCTTGTACTGCTGATAATTTTGTCTGTTTAGTTTCTATCTTCTCCAGTTTTTGCTCAAAACACAAAAGAGGGTAAAAAATCCTCATTTAAGGGCCATCACAGTGAATCACTCCTATGAAGAGTGACAGTCTACTAACTATATCGGTAAATTTTGATTTGTTTGTGGATCTTGCCTTACTTATCATTTTTAAGATATAAGGCAAAAATGCAAAAAATTGGTAAAAATCGTCATCAAAGGAAAAAACTCAAATTAGGAGTCGACTGACAAATTCAAACATGCATACTTATTCGTAGATCTTGTCTTGCTCATAATTGTGCAACTTAAAATTTCTCTCTATTATAGTTTTCAAGATAAAAGGCAAAAATGAAAACATGGTAATATTTGTCATTTAAGGGGAAGAAAGTCGCCTGACAGTTTTGACATTGATGAACAATTGGTAGAGCTCAACATTCTGAACTTTTTTGCTCTTGTAAGATTTTCTCCATTCATAATGGTTTGCAAAATAATGGACAAAACTTGCATTTTACCCCTATGTTCTATTTTTAGCCATGTCGGCCATCTTGGTTAGCAGGCAGGGTCATTGGACAAATATTTTAAACTAGATACCCCAATGATGATTGTGGCCAAGTTTGGTTAAATTTGGTCCAGTAGTTTCAGAGAAGATTTTTGTAAAAGTTAACGGATGATGGGCGCCAAGTGATGAGAAAAGCTCACATGGGTCAAAGGGCCAGGTGATCTAAAAGTTAAAAACATGTTGTCACATTTTGAGATTTAGATGAGCAACAGCCTAATTGGTAAAAAATGACATTACGAGGAGTCATCTGCCATTATTTTCACAGAAATGTTAAGTTGGTAGACATTCACACATTTTTGCACCTATATATATAATAGCCATTTACGATATTAGACAATTAGTTGTATTTTGTATCCTAAATTTTATTTTTTTAACATCTTGGCCTTATCAGTTGTAATGCTGGAATGTAGCTATGGATAATAGTTTTAGAATTTAAAATTCATAAAAATCTGGCAATACAAAACCTAACTATGCATTCCTTTCTGTGACAAGAACTGCTTATACAGCAATTTGAATTATCAGACCAAATAATCTGATTATAGAAGGCTAACCAAAATATCTGTTGAATAATTGAGATTAATTTGTTTTTCTTCATACAAATTATTGCATCATGAAGGAACTATACATAATGGATTTGTCAATGTAAGAAGCTGTACCTGAAGAAAACTTCCTCTGTTTCCATATATCAATGGCTGTGCCAGGCAAAACAAATCACTGCAGTTAATGTGTGGTCTGCAAACAGAACCAACATAACATTCATCATTCACATGCAATGTAAACATTAAAAGATAAATTGTCTGTAATATCAATGCAACTTTTTACAAGTTTGTTTGCTCATTTCAAAAATAACTGCCTTATCCAAAACAAAGCTTATATCTTTTATGATAAGTCAAAATAGTTCAGCTGATATTGTTTAATTTATTTATAGCAGAATAAATATATTTTGGGGTTGGTAAAATATTTGAATGGAATATAAAACCTTAATTTGTTCCTGGAAATGATTGTATCATTTCATTAATCTTTGCAAAAGTGAATGGGGCACAGCTGTTTGTCCTTCAAGAAATAACAACGATTGAAGCTGATATTCCACATCAATAATACACTAAAACAACTCGAAACCAACTAAAAGTTAAGAAATACCTTCATATGAAGTACAACCAGCCTTGTGTTGAAACATAACTTACAATGAAATGTTATCCTGCAATGGAAAGAACAAAACAATTAAAGACAATGCATTGGTTAAATTGAGTTTCACCTAAAAAACAGTATTTTGCATTTGATGTCCAGCATGATTTTTCAAGAATGAATGTGCTCCAACAGTATCCCTCATTTCTCCACATTTGTGCTGTAAAGGCTTTTTAAAAGGTATTTATTTCATGAATTATTCTATTGTTTACATTGCATGTGAATGATGAATGTTATGTTGGTTCTGTTTGAAAAAAGATTCAGAAATACAACTTCAGTACAGAACATAATATTGTTCAATATTGAAGTTACCCATTACTTCCTTTAGAAAGTGACAATACAAAGTGAGGACTACAAAGGTCAATGATCAACTGTTCCAACAAGGATTATTTGAAGAGATTGTACTAGTCAGTATATATGGACACTGATTTTACCAAAAACATGTACTTGTAGTTAAGTTCCTTTGTTATTTCCTATTGGCAGTATTGTATGCATTGCATCTGTTACCTTAATATTTATATTTGATACATATTTTGTTTAGTTTTATCGCCAAAATTACTGATAAACCTTTCAATTGGGTGTGTTTGATCATTCGGTTTTTGATGAAGGACAAACAGGTGTGCTCTCATTCTTTTTTGTAAAGATAAATAAAATGATGCCAGGAAAAGAAAATGGTTTTATATTCAATCAAAATATTTTATCAATACAAAAATATATTGACTGTAAAAAAAAAGTCTGTTTGTTTGCCTCATTTTGCAAATGACCTGTGACTGCTCAATTTACTAGTTATAAATCCAGAGTTTTACAAAAAAACAAAAGTACAAACAATTTACAACACAAAAGATACTGTATGAATCTGGTGTTCAAACTGAACTAATAAATCTGAATGCCATTATTAAACAGAATAAGAAGGAGGTAAGATTAAACAGAAATTGTAAAAATAGTGAAACTACAATCTACAACGATATAATGATGAATGAATAACAGTCAAGTCACTTCAGTGTAGAAATATCACTGTTGCCACAATTTCAATATTTTAACAAAAATACTCATTTTACTTTTTGAGTTAAACCTGCTTAAGAGACCACCTGTATTAAGCCAAAACCTCTGTTATAAGACCATTAATTTTAGGTGCCTTTTCAGTGCATTTTATAGATTGAACCTGTATTAAATGACCCTCTGTCTTATGAGACCACTTTTACTACTACATGTATACTTATTTGAAAAAGATAGAACTTTTTTAGTAGACTTAAACTAATTTCTCAACATTAGCCAAGTAAACAAAAACAATCAAACAATCTATATGTAGTAATGAAAAGGTATTGCCATGATAAAGAAGAATATATATACATGTATATGGTAAATAGGTGGGAATCTCACCTTTTTGATAATATAATTAACAATGGATGGGACATGGCCACAGTTCCCACTCTGGACAAAATCTATGGAGCATGTAAAAGGTCTGTCAAGTCAATTCAAAATACATATGGTTTAGGGGTAGGGCTCTAAATAGTTTGTGATATATTTATCAATCTATATATATATATATATATACACTGTAAATTCAGAAATTATTGCGATGTTTTTATTATTGCGAAAAATGCGACAGGGTTATAAACGCAATAATTCGAACTCGCATTTTGAATTTTTATACGCCCTTCAATTTTTGACGGGACGTTTTATGGTATACAAATGTCCGGTGTCCGTCCGTCTGTCCGTCCGTCCGTCTGTCTGTCCGGCGTAAACATGTCACACCGTAACTTGAGAATGACTTATCCAAATTTCATGAAACTTAACATAGTTGTTTCTTATGATGGTCAAACGATCTGTATACTTTTTGGTGAAAATAAGATTAAAACTTTTTGAGTTACGGGACTTAGTAACTAAATTTGGTGAAAATAAGATTAAAACTTTTTGAGTTATGGGACTTAGTAACTAAAACAGGTGTGTGTTTTTTTTCACATGTCGCGCCGTATCTCAAAAACAATTTATGATTATTGCTTAAAACTTTACACACTTCTTAGTTATATTAATCTTAAGATCTGTATACTTTTTGGTGATGATTCAAAATTTTATTTTAGAGATATTGAGTATTTTGTTAAAAAAGGGGGAGGGGTTTTTCACATGTCGCGCCGTATCTCAAAAACAGTTTATAATTATTGCTTAAAACTTTACACACTTCTTAGTTACATTAACCTTAAGATCTGTATACATTTTGGTGATGATTCAAAATTTTATTTTTGAGTTATTGAGTATTTTGTAAAAAAAGGGGGAGGGGTTTTTCACATGTTGCGCCGTATCTCTAAAACGATTTATGATTGTTGCTTAAAATTTTACACACTTCTTAGTTATATTAATCTAAAGATCTGTATACTTTTTGGTTTTGATTCAAAATTTTATTTTTGAGATATTGATTTTTTTTTTTTAAAAGGGGGGTTTTCACATGTCGCGCCGTATCTCAAAAATGATTTATGATTAATGCTTAAAATTTTACACACTTCTAAGTTATATTAATCTAAAGATCTGTATACTTTTTGGTTTTGATTCAAAATTTTATTTTAGAGATATTGAGTTTTTTGTAAAAAAAAAAGGTGGTTTTCGCATGTCACGCCATATGTCAGAAACTATTTATGCGACGGGCGTATCATGCGCTCATGGCGCAGCTGTTTATTTTATATGAATTAAACAGGATTTTTCTCAATATCGCAAAAATTAAAATCGCATTTAAGTCTAAAATGACAAAATCGCAATAATAAATGCATGCAATAATTTCTGAATTTACAGTATATATAATTCGTCTAAATAACAGCCCAACAATGTTAGATCTGTAAATTTGCGGAAGCAAATTTTTGTTCTTCCCTGGCCAGGATTCGAACTCATGTTACTGAGATTCGTGGCACCAAAAAGCCTTGCACTATGCCCATCTCGCTAGACCACTCGACCACCTAGGCTCAACAAAATCAACCTTTCGGTGGCCGGGTGTTACCTTTCCTCGTCAGTTTTTATCTAGCGTCGTAACACAGTACATGATATATAAGGCATGAAGATGGAATATTACAGATCAGCTGAACTATCTATTGTAGAGGATCTTACAAATTAATGTAGGATGCAGTCACAGAAATAATTATATTATAAGTACGTCTGAACCAGTGACAACTCTACGAAAGATTTTATCCATTGGATCACCTGTGAGGGTGATACAAGGCTGAAAACACATTCATATATATAATATAGGGGGTGGGTCCTGACTCCATAGGATAACTTCTATGATGCACTGTAAAGGTCTTGTCATGATAATCAAGATTATATTTGGTTAAGGGGTGGATCTGAATAGTTTTCAAGATATCTAATATTTAATGATAAGAAAGGGCCAGAGCATGAAACCTATGGTGGACTAAAAAAGTTTGATCAATGCAATTAAGAATACATATGGTTTATAGGTGGGATCATCAAGATTTCAACTCATTAAAACATAAGTTATTATATGAAGAGTTCGGGACATGTCCACCAACCCCCTCTAGGACTTACCGTGCAAGACCCTCATGGGTAGTCAAGGTCTTAAAAAACCACCTCGTCTTTATCCCTTTAGGACTATACCCTTCGATGCACTGAAAAGGTTGCCATTGCAAACAAGAAATTACACAGTTTTGGAGTAGACATGAAAATATTCATAAAATCAATTATTTAGGTCAAATATCAAGGTCATCTCCCATGGTAAGCCACCAATTGTCTTGAGGTGGTGAATGCATGTACAAAATATATTAATCATATGTCAAAGGATGAACCAAGTTATCTTTGGACTAGACAATGTCTCAAAAAATCAATTTAAACCAGACTATCGGTAGTCAAAGGTCACAATGATACAGGACACACTATTTTAAGGTAATACATGTACACCTTTATATCAAATATCATAAGTCAATGCCAAAGAATGATACAATTTTTGCTCAGACAAGGATGTTTGAAAATAAGAACCAGAAGAAATACTACTTTTGTTGAAGGAGAGAATAAATATGAACAAGATAACCCAGGAGATATGTCACGATATCTTTGTAAATGATGACTTGTAACAAAATATCCCTCAAATAGATAAAAAAAGACAACCATTACTAATAGCAATGAACTGAAAATACAGGAATTATTGCCTTTTTTCCTGAAATAACAAAAGCTTGAAGGCAGTAAGGTGTTTGTTGGAAATGACATTTTCATGTCTGGGTCTTATAATTTTAGCAGACTATAAGGTATGGATTTTTCTCATTGTCGAAGGCTGTACTGTGGCCACTTCATTTTAACTCTGGTGGACAGTTGTCTCATTGTCAATCATACCACATCTCCTTTTATATTGACAAAATTCAAATATAGCAGATAGCCTGATGAAGGATAAGGATGGCATCTTACAGTTATATAAATATGTTTTGTGATTATCAAATTCGCCTTTATTTCTTTAATCTTCCCCTTCTTATGAATTGAAAAAGCACATGATTAAAAATAAGTGTCCTTAGTATACTACACCCATTCTGAGCACTGTAAATAAGCTAGTGTCATGCCCCAAATAGAACAATACCAGAAGGCTACTGCTATTTAAGAGATGAAGTGTATGATGTTGATGAATCTGAAACAGCAGGTAATTTGTAAATGTGTCTAATTATTGAGGTAAACATCCACTTACAATGATAAAATAGTAATGATACTAACAGATATAGCTAGTTTTATGATAGGTAGATACTAATCTTATCAGGTATGAAATTATAAATCAGCAGTATTTGTAGTTTATGAAATATTTATTGTCATAGAAGTGAAAATCTGATTGCTATTATGAATTCCTTGCTGGGTCGAATAGGTCAAATCATCTAAAATAATCACTTATCAAAATTCTTAAATTAATCACCCAATCAGTGCTACTTGAAAAACCCTTCAGTGTCAGACAGAAGAAATGAAAATGTAATAAACTTTTTTTTATTGTTATCTGTAATTTTTCTGCAAAGACAGTTTAATGTAGAATATCAATAATTG